CTAATATTAGCCTCAATCTGTAATAAGCTCTTTAACGTTTTCTCACAACGTCACTCACAAGGAAACCGTTCCGAGTGTCCCTCACCAATTTCGATGAGCTTGAAATGTTATTCCCCATCAAAATCTAAGGTATACGTATTTTTTTTCTGCGGATAAAGATTTTTAGGGGGTGAAACTAAGCTCCGAAGTTGACAGGTTTTCAGGATCATTTGACTGTTTCACATATTGGCATTCAAAATTTTAGAACGAAACCAAATGCATGATAATCTTTAAGAAAAATGATGAAAAATGACGTTTGTTGCATTTGAATAGGGTCAATTCCAAAAAATGATAGGGGTGCAAATCCCAAAAAAATTTGTGAAAAAAAAAATAACGCTCGTATTTTAATAGTAGGAATGACTATTAAACGAGCGAGCGAACGTCGAAAATACGGGTTTTCGCTTTTTTCGAAAAGTGTTATAGGGGGTAAACCACCCTCGAATTTAACTTGATTCATTACCAGTTGAATGTTGAATTTCTTCTTGGACGATCACAATTCTTGAAGTAAGANCGGTTCTGTGGAGATAAAAGAAATCTCTGGATTCAGATTTGGTGGATATTTCCATAAATCTATTTAATTTCTGCCTCAATAAATTTGAGACAGGCCAGAAACTCCAATGAGCTTCAAGATCACTCTGAGAAGAGATCTCGGCATCATGAGATCGAATTCAGGCGAAATAGTAATTTGGAGGTTTGGAGCCTTGAATAATGCGTCAGGGGCAAATGCAACAATTGCAATTGTAGTTGACGACTTGGAGCCTTGCTTTAATGCGTCAGGCGTAGATGTAACTATCATAATAGTAGTTGAAGGCTTGGAGCCTTGGATCAATGCGTCAAGCGCAGATTTAACTATTGAACTAGTAGAACAAGCCTTGGAGCCTTGGGTGAATGCATCAGGCGCAGATGTGTCAAGCCCGCCAGGATCTGAGCTGTTGCTCCCACTGTCCTGGATGTCAGGGATGAAAGAATCATCTGACATATTAGTAAAAATCTCATTTTTAATTTCCTTATTCTCGATTATGTCTCTAGGACCAGAAGAACAAGGTAAAATGAAGCAAAATGACGCTGTGGGTCGTTCCACAAGGAATAAACTCGGCCTAAATAAGCCTTGGACGTTGATTGGTTGTCTCTAGGATCTGACCCGAGCGTCCAAACAGGCTGAGAGACATGAAAAACCGCTTACCTTCATTTCCAATCCATTATTTATCCAAGGAAAAGTCGATAATTTTCTAGATATTTAACACATTTATGTGTTTCCTCTGCTTACAGTCAACCATAATGATGAAAAAACTGTGTAAAAATGGAGAAAAATAGAATATTACAGCAAAACAAACTGGAAACTCTGAAAAGCGTGTGTTCCACTCGCGCAGACATGAAAACAATGATAAGATGGCGAGCCCTCACCGCCGAGGTGCCACAGCCAACTTTTTCTATGGTCTCTGAAGGCGTGTGGCTCCATGTAGCGGCAGGCGGGCTACTACAAGTTATTAAAATCTCGAAGACGAGGCTCGAATATAATCGAGTACATCACCGAGTATTATATTGAGTCTAGCGCTCTGTATATCGTCTCTATTTCGTTCAATTATCAATTAATTTCGAGTTAACTATCAATTATTTTGAGTCAATCATCAAGTTTAATTTCGAGAGAATCTCTAGTGCAGTGTAAAGACTATTATCAAATTGACATTGAGACATTCACTAATTCATGTATCCCTAAAATCAAGACGCGTAGCTTACGCCACAAATAAAGTACTTCACCAGTGTTTTTGTAATCCGCGTGTGTTTAATTTCACCCTTCCCATATCACGTGCCCCCAATTGGCCCTAATATTAGCCTCAATCTGTAATAAGCTCTTTAACGTTTTCTCACAACGTCACTCACAAGGAAACCGTTCCGAGTGTCCCTCACCAATTTCGATGAGCTTGAAATGTTATTCCCCATCAAAATCTAAGGTATACGTATTTTTTTTCTGCGGATAAAGATTTTTAGGGGGTGAAACTAAGCTCCGAAGTTGACAGGTTTTCAGGATCATTTGACTGTTTCACATATTGGCATTCAAAATTTTAGAACGAAACCAAATGCATGATAATCTTTAAGAAAAATGATGAAAAATGACGTTTGTTGCATTTGAATAGGGTCAATTCCAAAAAATGATAGGGGTGCAAATCCCAAAAAAATTTGTGAAAAAAAAAATAACGCTCGTATTTTAATAGTAGGAATGACTATTAAACGAGCGAGCGAACGTCGAAAATACGGGTTTTCGCTTTTTTCGAAAAGTGTTATAGGGGGTAAACCACCCTCGAATTTAACTTGATTCATTACCAGTTGAATGTTGAATTTCTTCTTGGACGATCACAATTCTTGAAGTAAGAAATGAATAATGGTGTTGGTTGGGTTCAAAAAGGGTGAAATGGGGGGGGGGGGGGGACAAAGTGGAACGCTGATGTAAAGTGGGATAACTGTCTTTTTGGGCCACAATATTGGTGCGAACTTTTTTTCGTATCTCGGATCGCTTACTCGCAAAATTATAATAAACGAAAACGTTGTAACTAATTTTCCCTATCATAAACCCTAAGAGTGTTAATTTATCATTAACGGCTAGATGTGGAGAAAAAATTTAAAGAAAAAATTATATGACTAATTTGATGAGGAATATTTTTAAGTTGATTCATTTCTGTCTGTCACCATCAAGTTTGTTGATCAATGCATCAGAGTGCGCCGACACCTCGCACAAATGCTGGCGCGGTCCGCTTTGCTCTTCCCCTGATAACTCTTGCTCTATCGTAATATGCGAAAAACGATACAAGACCAGATATGTGTATTACTGCATGTCAGCCGTCTTTGGTTTGAAGCATTTCTTCTTATCTGTAATCGTTTATGTGATATGATTATATAAATAATGAAATTATATATAACAATACCAATAACCGTAATATTTGTGTTTTACGACTTTGGATTAGTCTTAATTAACAGAGTTATTTTTGTATATTTTATTTTCGGGATTAAACCGCGGTGGGCGTATACTCTATCCAGACGTATTGTTCTCTGCTATCAGATCTTGACGATAAAAGTACGGTCAGTCTAATAAAAGAAAGCATAAAGAAAGCACTCTCGTGCCCAACCAGTGTTTTGTTGTGATTATCATCGTTAGTTCACTTTGACACTTTCGAAACACCAGATATGGAACTATTGTGTATATCGTGTATATCGTGAAAATTTAAATATAGTTAGAACGAGGACGGAAAAGTATTTTTGAGAGACATTTAGATAATTATTACACGCAGAAATGAGAGTCAATCCTATGAACGTTATTCAATTACTGCTGACAACATTTCAAGCGATGAATATTCCGGAATCACCTATAAATAATGAAAAAATCCAATTGAAAAATAGCATTGAGGAAGTGTTATCACATGCAATGAATGAGTATTCTGGCGTCGAAGTGACGGTGGAAAATTCGTTAAACTTTGAGGAACCTTACAAAAACTGGGACATGGAGATAGTCGAAGACAAAGAATACGCGGATAACCTTCATGAACCGCCGATAGACCCTGATACCTGTACTAAAGATGAATTTACATTTAAAGAATAATGTCATCAAGTTGCAATCTCTAACTGATAATCAATTGTCGTCACCACGATATGTCAATCTCTTCAAATATGCTTTGTACAGAAGCGGTTACGTAGAAACCAAACCAGATGAATTTGAAAATCCCGTCCATTTTGCCTTCGGTGAATCTTGCAATTCGCATTCCGAAATACCGGGATGTACGAATATTATTATTATACTATACTATTATTATACTTATACTATTATTCGTTGTTCTTGGTGCAAGAAATTATTATGTTTCAAACACTTCTTCGACGACTATCATTATTCCAAAAAATATAATGAATAAATAAATGAGGAAAATTATAACAAAAACTCAAAATATGATTTTCTTAGCGCCTTACGATAGGAAAAATAAGGAAACGTATGAATAATGATGACGTCGTGGGGGTGCAGTGAAGGAAGAATAGAAAAAAAGCAATGATAATGGAATTGTCAGATCATTATATTGCTAGGTATGTAAAAATATAAATAAAAGTGATATTCTGAATGAATACTCTTCAACATCCCTCTATCCTTTTTATGAATTTAGAAGAAGGGCTGTACTGGGCTGCACTGTATTCATTCCTCCAAAAAAAAACAGTAATCCGCAGAGGCTGCTCCAGTTCTTCTTACAATTCTCACCTGAATCATGAGGAAGTATTTATTGCAAAACATTTGTATATTTCAACTCTAATAATTATTTTGTCATTCACTCTTTCTAAACAAGACCGACGAGATTCTCCACCACACATATTGGAAATTGTCTTCTTGCGAGAAGACATCCAATATTCAACTGGTAATGTGTTGAGTTAAATTCGAGGATGGTTTATCCCCCTACACCCATTCTTTCGAAAAAATGCAAAAACCTGTATTTTTTACTTTTACTTGCTCGTTTGATAGCCATTCATACTATTGAAATACGAGCGTTATTTTTTTTCACAAGATTTTTTTCGATTTGAACCTCTATCATTTTTTGGAATTGACCCTATTCAAATGCAACAAACGCCATTTTTCATCATTTTTCTTATAGATTATCATGCATTTGGTTTTATTCTAAAATTTTGAATGCCAATATATGAAACAGTCAAATGGTTCTGAAAACCTGTCAACTTCGGAGATGGGTTTCACCCCCTAAAAGTCTTTATCTGCAGAAAAAAAAATACGTATACCTTAGATTTTGATGGAGAATAACATATTTCAAGCTCATCGAAATCGGTGAGGGACACTCGGGAAGAAAATACACAATTAGTAGAAATTGAATGTTCTACTTAAATCGTTTCACTAATCGTAGCTAATTCTCAGAATTACAAATATTTGTTTTCCGAAAATTCTTGGTTAAATATTTCACATTATTCTAATTATCACACACCTGCAGAAAACTGGGTGACGCAGTGTGCAGCAGTCAAAATATAGCGATTGTTAATCACAGACCCGCCACATCGAAATTCTATGTAATTATTGTAGACTTTGTAAGCGATGAGAGCCATCCAGGGATAATCGAACACTCCAGTTTTGTTACCACCTATTATTTTTTCCTCGGTCACTGGACCGCAAATATCCTGATCCAAGAGCCGGAGATTTGGATGAGTTGTTACGTCTGGAGGTAAATCATGGGTATCTGGGTGAGAGGGTGCAATTGTTGCTTCAGTTATAACAGGCATTATAGGTGTGGCTACCAATGACGACTTTGGTCGATTCTCCACACTTGTCTAATTAAAAAAACGTTCTATCAATATTTTTCGTATTATATGCGAAGTTCAGCGAAATTCTATCAGAACCCTCGTGGAAATTCGTCGACAGATTCTGACAAATTTTGAGAGAAAATGTCAAAAATTGTCATAAAATGAGAAATTTCTCAAATTTTTGTCATAAAATGACAGAATTTGACATAAAATGACAAATTTTGTCCGATCATATTTCGCCGGACAAATGTCATATTATGTCAAGTTGATAAAATGTCATAAAATGTCAGAATATGTCAAATAATGTCATAATCGGACATATTATGTCATATTGTGACAGATTCTGTCAGAGATAATATGTCATATTTTGTCATATTATGACATTTTCTGACAAACATCCGGGTTGGGAATATTCTCAGAAAATGTCAGAATATGTCAAATAATGTCATAATTGGACATATTATGTTGAAATCTGACATAATTTCTCATTAAATGTCATAAAGGGTCAGAAAATGATAAAATATGACATATTCTGTCAAATTCAAGTGAAAAAATCCCAAAAATTGTCAAAAACGGAGAAATGATGACAGATTCTGTTAAAATCGAAGGCAAAAAATGTCAAAATCTGTCATAAATGGAGAAATTATGACAGATTCGGACAAAATATGATAAAGAATGACATTCTACTTTCTTATTTGCCTGAATAATCTGTCAGAATTTGTCATATCATGTAAGAAAAAGTCATAATCTGACATATTATGGCGAAAAATGACATAATCTGACATGTTATGACAAAAAATGACATTAAATGTAAAAAAAGGGACAGCGAACGGTCTGAGCAGTTGACATATTATGACATATTATGACAAATTCTGTCAAAATTTGTCAGATTCTGAGATATTTATCGAAGAAATTATGACATATTCTGACCAATTTGTTCCAAATCGCGGTCATTTTATGTCATTTTCTGACATCACAGATTCTGACATATTAGTACAAATTCTGACATAATATGACATTTTCTGATATATTTTCTACGAAAATTTTTTTCAGAATATGATAGAATTTGACATTTTCTGTCAAAATTTGTCAGAATCTATCGACGAATTTCCACGAGGGAAGACCGTAGTTACGGACATTTTGACAAACAAGAACAACAGGTGAAACATCAAATTCTAGATTGTTTTCTTTAGTTCTCAACCACTTTATGACCAAATCAATGTTGAACATTTCGACTTACCCAAGAAGGACAACAGACTTTAAACTCCCGCCCCTGTGGCCCTTCAAGTCCGCAACGAGATTTCCTCAGCAAGTCTACATCCTCCTTCGTGGGATGTCCAGGTAAGTTCAGAGAACGTATCAGCATATGACACCTCTTAACATTGATACAAGTCCCGGATTTTCCATTAGGAGTTCTACAATCATCTCCATCAGGAAATATTACTGCGCCTTCATTATGGTCTAAATTCCCAAAGGCAAATGTGAACGTGAGAATAAATAGAAATAAAGCAAAAAAATACTTTTCGCCTCTTTATAATTAAATAATTATATATATTAAGGTGATTCCCCGACAAAATTTCTAAAAAAGCCGAAAATTTTCGAAAATCATAATTGACGGGGAATGCTCTTATTCTACTGCGCCATGCCCCGATGATGTTTCCGAATCGTCAACACTATCCGATGAATATCTATAAGAGGGCTTTCATTTTCTCCATTTTTAATTTTTTAGAAAATGGAATGATCATTATCGTCACAGGGATTCTTTATAGATTACTTGATTTTTAGAAATTTCACGTCGGTCTCTTCTAAGGGGAAGACGACTATGAATTTTTGTCGGTAAAACAACATCTACGGACTAAGTGACGAAAATACTCAATCGAAACAAATGCCGCATTCGGTAGAAAGTTTTATTGGATTTCTATTGTTTTTAAAAAATTCAGCAGCTTTTATATCTATTTTTTTCAATAGCAAAAAAAAATTTTTTATCACTTGTAATACCACAAGAGCTCCAAAATTATCGGGTATTTTCCGATGGGTTCGTTTGTATGCAGAGAACCTTGAGGAAAATGCCCGATTAATTTTTAAGCTCGTGTGGTATTCGGGGGATTATTTTTCCAATCCAAATGTCGGGCAATATAATTGGACCATGAGACGAAACTCACAATTGAGAAACGAAAATTGTATAATTAACACTCACTTCGAATAAAAATCCTCGGATTACCACAATGGAATTCAATCTGTCAGTTTGACGAGGGGTTAATTCGACTGCATGATCTTTTGTTTTTTAATATAGCAACTACCAGAGAAAATTATCAAAAAATTATCAGTTGAAAACCCTGTAGCTTTTACCACGTGATGTCGAATGGGCCAATTATATTGCCCGATTTTTGGGTTGGAAAAATAATCAGCAGAATTTCGTTTTTTCACATAATTTATTCTATCCATAGCGAGAATTTTTGTCGAGAAATTCCTGTAGAAAACATTTCAATAGAGTAAATGGTATAGAAAGATTAAATTCTATTGTTCTTTTCTACAAAGTAGTTTCTATTAACCACTTTCTTGAAAAAAAAAAATACAGAAAGGTACGGAATTTTTTAATACAATTGGCGGAAAACTAATAGAAGTTCAAAAGAATTTTCTAGTGAATGCACTAACTTTCTATGAAATTGTTTCGTGCATGAGACAACGTTGTTTTCCACCGAAATTTAAAAAAATGTACAGAAAAACAATTAGGAGTCACTTTTTTGATATTCGAAATCTCAATTAGTATAAATGTTCTGAGACTCGAATTCTTTTGTATGTTCAATGATTTTTTGTATATAAAAAAAAATTTTAATTAAAAACTTAGAAGTCCAATATTATAAAAGCGTCTCGTGATTGTTTTTCTCCACATATTTCGGAGAACTGGGGAAAAACAGAAATTCTCCATCTCAAAAATTCAGTACATCGAGAGAAAAACAAATACGTTCTCAAACAAGTCTTGTTTGGGCCAAAAAAATCGCTAGTTGAAAATTGCCAAAAAAGAAGTTGTTTGCTTCGAATTTGGAAGGGATAATTGCTCTGCTTTCGACAAAAATGAAATATTTGGCTGAAGTGGCGCAGAATTCACATGAGACGGTGTTTTTTCAGAATGAAAGAATCTGATATACAGGAAAATTTATCAAGAAATATTTTGTCGCTAAATTACAAGATTGGTGTCATATAATTATTATTGTTCCATTTAAGGATTCATTTCTTATCTATAACTACTAGATAGACTAAACGCTTAACTACTATTCCTTGTTTTGCATAAAACAAACATTTTCGCAAGCAAAATACGTACGGGAGTATCGAATAACAAAGGAGTAGTGCTGGAACTGATATTTCTTGTGTGCACAGAGAATGTTTTTTTTTTAACTATTAAATTTATTGTTACGGCAAAATTTTTTCATCTCGGCGCATGTCAGGCACAAAAAAATAATTTTTTGATAATTTTCTAAAACCTATTTTCTTGGCACAAGTAAGACTTATTTGAGAACTCTGTCGTTTTTCTCTCAGTATACACTGTTTTTCATTGTAACTATCAGTTTTTACACATATGGAACATATGGAGATTTTCACTTCAATAACCCGTAATGTTCAAAACTCATAATCTTCTCTCCTTAGTCAAATGATGAGGGTCACCTGTAGTTACTTTCACTGCATTTATCATCACAAGTACCACAATCACAGAAAAAATCATTTTTAATTGAAAATTTTTTGCATGCCAGGGGAGACGAAGAGTTCAACTTCATTCACGTGGATTATTAATCCGTAGTATAGTGTAAAAACGATTACAAACGATTTCTAACTATCATCTCTTTTACTTGATCTATACGTCTGTTTTTATCTTCCTGTCGTCACTATGTGAATGAAGAAATATATATAAAGTCAGGACTCATCCTGCTACGTACTGAAGTAATAGAATCCGTACATTTTTCCTTGCTGTCCGACCTTGTTGTTTCTCTCACTTTCACTAGGAAACAATTTTTTTATTGAGGATAGCGCGAATTTTTCCTCATTGCCGATGATTAATTGGAGGAAGTGGGGAGATAATTTATGGAAGCGAGATTTCCAGGAAGAAATGCAAAAAGTCAAGTGAAATAATCATTAATCTGCGTGATCAATGAGTCCAACATGCATTTTTGTTCAGTAGGAGATCTAAAGATGGAGAGATTTAAGAATGAATTTCAAGAGATATTGCCTATGCAAAATTTTATAATCTTCAAAACAAACTCTCTCTGCTAAAAAGTTTTTCTGCATCGATTCCCTTCGAAACAATCTATAAATCCATATTAGCATATTTTTCTCAATTGAATATTAATAAATCATTCATTGAATCGCAATAAATTTCTTTATTTTATGGAAAAAAAGGATGAGTAAAGGTACATTTCAATAGAAATACAATCACTGATTTGAATCTCCTTGAAATACAACAGAAAAACAAACAAAAATCGGTGTCAAAATACAAAATTGGATATTGTAGCCTGAATATTCACATGATGGATCATCACACTCCACTAATAATTAATCTATTTATAAACAGAATTATTCATTCCCTCAAACGATCAAGAATCCAGTCAGTGTAATAGGCAAGTCTGGTGTAGACCCCAGGATAGCCCTCAATCCCACAGTTCTTAGTTCCAAAGCTGACGATTCCATACTGCACAAATCTCACATTAGTCTTATTGTAGATGGAAGGTGCTTGAAGAGGGCCGCCACTATCCCCAAGGCATGAATCTTTATGGTCAGTACCTCCAGCACACAATTGCTTGTACCAGATCACTATGTTTTTCTTGTACGCCTTTGCACATTCCTCATTAGAGACTAGGGCGAGCTTCACCTGGAGGAGGTCTTGACTCCTGGGGCCATTTTCTGTCGCTCCCCATCCCGTCACGATTACCTTCTTCTGATGATGCGTAGCTGCATCACCGATGGGAAGACAAATTGGTCTTGCATTTATTGGACGAAAATCTATGGATGAATCCACTCTTATCAGTCCTATGTCATCCTGTAGAACCGATTTCGTAAATCCTGAGTAGAAGTGGACCTCTTCGATTCCAAAGTCTTGGTAACGCTCGGCACAGTCAGTTTCTAGACCATCCAGGTCTTTATTACAGTCTCTTTCGGTCCGTAAATCGTGCTCTCCAACCCGTACACCGATCAGAGTCAAAGCTGAAAGAAAAAATAAACAAGTGGGAAATTGCTTTTTTATTGCGTATAGTATAGTTATTTTTGCTAATAAATTAGCAATATGCTTCCGAATTGTCATTTTGCATATTCTCCTCTTCTAATATATATAATTAATGGTTTATTTTACTTTCCCAAATTGAATGAGTTCCTTTTTGACTAATTGTGTCCGATTTTTAATTATTTAGTCTGCAGAAAAGATGTGCATTTGACAGTATCATTCAAATATTAATTACAGCGTGCAGTACGGAAGGTTTCTCCAATGATATCCTTCGTTCAAATACCCAGGAATTCAATTTGATTAAATACATTGTCGTAAATGATGAAGTTGATGAACAATACGTTCAGCAGTTGAGATTAAATATTTTTCGATCAAAGCAATTTTTCCAAAGAGAATTGAGATTCTGGTCTGATCTGGTAATTTTGAAGGCATTAATAACAGTAGGGGAGACCGGGGCAAAGTGGAACGGTGTGGCAAAGTGGAACGGCGGGGCAAAGTGGAACGGCGGGACAAAGTGGAACGGCGGGGCAAAGTGGAACGCGGGGCAAAGTGGAACGGTAGCAAATTTTGTTCTTGAGAGGTCAAACACGCTTAAGGGTCAAAGTGGGAAGTAATCGGAAGGACCAAGAGTTGTTGAGGGTCAAATAAAAAAAATCACTACGACTTGTAACCATATTTCGAGTAAGAAGTCTTAAATTAAAAACCGTTGGTTTCTTGAGGGGGTACCAAGATGAAACAGGAATCTCCAGTTGATAAGAATATTGAAGCGACTCTTAGTATATTATGAAGTATTTAAAATAGTAAAGAAAATTTTGAGGCTCAACCCATTTTGCTCCTTACGTGGAGGTGAAACCTCGTGTTTTGAGGTTTTGGCTTTTAAATGCTCCTCGCACCACGATTTTCATTCCACTTGAACTGTTTCTTTTCAATGTTCGTTAGATTCCATAGAATGAAACTATTTTTTTTTTTCAATTCAGTAACGAAGCGGTAAAACCGTTTAAGGATCTGTATCAAACTACAAGTATCTTATAGTTTGATATAGACCACAGTATAGATTCAACAATATTCAATCATCACATTTGTCAATTAAATCGCATTACAAAAATTTCAGAAAAATCATGGATATTCATTGTCATTCAAATTATAATTGTGTAGGGAATTATCATTTTTTTTAAACATTCCCTTCTTATAAATAATTAATTGAAATTGTTTAAACTTTGAGATACCTTATTTTTTTAGGCATGGAATCGATATCTGGTAACATTCTGAATATGAGTAAATTTTTTGCCTTTCCGAACAAATTATTTTTATCGTGGAAAATTGACTGTTTATAAATTATTTTTAAAAAATGCTCGTAATTTTCAAAAATTTCAATTTTTCAATTGTTTTATGAATTCCTCCAAAATTAAACTTTCTAATTTTTTTTCACATTTTGAAAATATTTTCTGACGGTTCAATATCGAGATTCAAATTCAGACCTTCACATTTTAAATAATAATATCATTGCAAAATGTCCGGAAACTTGGGGTCGAATGGAGCTAAAATTAAAGCTTTGATATTCGACGACAAAAGTAGAAAAGCATTTCACTGAACAAAAAATAGCCAAAACGCTTGGACATCCTTGATTTGACTAGTCCTTCACCTGAGTTTTTGAGGAATATTTCAGAATCTAAGGGAAATAGCCAAATTTTTGTAATAACCTTTTTTGTAACTCGAATGACAATTATGGTACAAGGAACATTTTGAAGCCACATACCTGGAAAACTATGTTCTACCTCGACGTATGGGGCAAAATGGTTTGTGCCCAAAATTTTCGTTACTTTTTAGGAATTTCTTAATCTATACAGACTCGCTCAACGACTATCCTTATCAACCGAGGACTTCCAAATTCCACCTGGGTTCAAAGTTTCACCCTGCCTTAAGGGGATATACACCACTGTTTGACCCTCAGAAACGTTTGACCCTTCATCTTTTTTCGACTAATAAAGTTAAGAAAAAAGTTATCCAAAATTCGCTTTAAATTCGTTTTGCTATCATTCCACTTTGCCCCGCGTTTCACTTTTCCCCGCCGTTCCACTTTGCCCCACCGTTCCCCCGGCGCGTAATTTTAATTCTCTTAGAATTCTTTAATGCCTAAAGGAGGTTAGGCGGTGTATGAGGTGAATTTGAGAGTGAATTTCTGTGGTTCCCGGTAGCTTAGTCGGTAAGAGTGCCCGGCGCGTATCTGGGAGACCCGGGTTCGATTCCCGGCTAGGTGAAGCGGAAATTTTGTCTCTCTAAATTCTAATTCTCTTAGAATTTTTGTTTTCCACTTTGCCCCCGTCTCCCCTAGCAGAATTATGTCCCATAATTTTTAATCAAAATCCAAGTTATTCAATGACAGTGGAGTGTTCATTATGTGGTGATAGAGGAATTGATGAAATTATAATAGAACCCGGTTTCGAAAAAATATGTCATTATGGTCATCTTTATTGCCAACATTTTCAAGAAATATTAGATACGACCATACATGAAATTTTCAATAGAGTTAATATTGGATGTACGCAATGTATCACGAAGCGTACTTTCATAACCATCCTTTTATCAATTGTCCATCGGATTCTAAGTTTTGAGTTCCAATACATGACTTCACGAAAACATTGAACGTAAACAATGATCTATATATTCTAGCCGGAATTGTAAATTTTCACGACCCAGAAATCGTTAACGAAAATAGCTTTGGACATTATACAGCATGCATTGTAAAAGGAGAGGAATGGATTATTGCAGATGATTTATCTCCTCAGAGAATTGTCGAAGTATCGTCATCCCATCAAATAAATCCTCATTTATGCATATATACGTAAAATGAAGAGTCACGGCACAGCCGAATTTTTGTACAGCTTATATACATAATAGAGGTAATACTTCTGAAGAATTGTATTATGAGATATATAGATGTTGGGTTCTATGACAACGAACTGAGTGAATTGGAATACCATGTCTATTTGGAAGAACAAAAAAGTATCCCTTGAAAAAATTAATATTTAATCTTCAATCGTAAATGGATTAGAATGATTAAAATGAAAGAAGTAAGAATTGGTAATGACTTTCATAAAGAATATTTCAGATCAACTTCTTCAGTATAACATAATTCAACTCTCTGACGAGAAAGGTTCACTACCGCACACAAAGCTAAAGCACGGTAACTGGTACCCCCACTCCTTCTTATACCGTCAGGGATTGGTAGGACTTCCTCGTCAGAGGGTTGATTTTCTAAATTCGACAGGCATCAATGGTGGAAAATCTACGTTCTGCTTTTCAAAACTGATATTTTAGTTACTCATAACAGCTTTGCATGGATCCTCTCTTATAAAGCTCAATTTTCTCCAGATAATTAAATATGTATTCATACCACCAATTTATTCAATTTATGTGAGGTCGAAATAATTCTCTTCAATAATAATTTAATCAATTCAACCCCTTTTCTTTCATTCAAATTATCAATGGCAGCGCATTTTCAACAATTATGGAAAATGACGAACTTTCAAGCGACGGCAGTGGCTGTGTGGTTAGAGTGTAGGGTTGGCATATCGGGGACCCAAGTTCAATTCCCGGTTGGGTGGGCCAAAATTTGCGACACTCTAAATCTCACGGTTTTACTATTGAGGGAGTCGACACTCGATCGTTTTACTATGGAGAGTCTCGCAAGATTTTTCCTACAAAATCGATACGGGAGCTGGGGGGATGGGAAGAAAATTCATGGAAATCTGAGAGAGAAGGGAAATTTTTTCCGAAAACTTTCGAATGCTCTTAGAATAATATCTAAAATTCGATTATTAATCAAATGAAAGAATGATGCAATCTATTTGATCTTTAAATTTCGATGAAATGTTATCAGAACAATTTCATTTGTACATAATTGAATGAATTTTAAACACCACATGTGAGAAAACCCATCAGAAAGCTCACTTTCAGGGAAATTTATGAAAAATGAGAAATTTTCAAAAATCATCATAAAAATCAGATCAACCAAGATAGCTATTGTCATCATCTTTTAACTGCGACATAATAGGATTGAAACGAACATTTTAAGCTATGATTGAATTCATTTGGAGCATAATATTTGAAGATATCCCCGGAATTCTGATTTTCAAAAAATACAAAATTTTTTCAATTTTCAGATAAATCAAAAGAACGATTATGGCTATCACCTTCCTCTTCGAACTCGGTCACACGGACACACAAACAAATTTTTTGAGCCATCATTCAATGAATTTAAAACATTTTTTTTAGTTATCGTGTTACAGCCGATTTTTGAAAAAATTCAAAAATTGAAAAAAGAATGAATTAATTTAATTTTTATTAACGGCGATGGATAGAGCTCAACAATACTTACATTAAAAAAAAAAGATTCAATTCTATCGATTCATTAGCGAGAAATTGAAAAAAAAGTTTGAAAAAATTAGTTACATCCATACACACATACGTACAGACGACGTCTAAAAATGCATTTTCGGACTTTCTGGATCATAATAAGTCGATATAACACAAAAAATCGAAAACTTTTTCTTGAACGATTACAATGCTTCCATTCGGTATGAAGAAATCGGGATCTGGGAGTTCAGATTGTTATCGTTATTCATAATTTCGGGATTATCTTCATGATGAGGGAAGAATGTAAAGGGACCCCGATTCGAAAAAGTTGTCTTAGCATTTTATCGGCATACGTTTAAGACCACCACAGCATTTTCTTAATAACCTGACCTATTACATACAATGGAGTCCCTTTATTTTTTGACACAAGTGGTGTTTCGTATTAAGACATGATATACATATTGAATTCTACAAAATTGTAATTGCAATTGAAATGGTAATTTGCAATTTCACATCCCAGCAAACAGTATGTCGACAAATTGTCGGTGTCCTGTTAAATTTTAGATGGCACTGGCAAAATTGGTTTCTGGGATTGTGCAATCCAAACTTATAAATGTTCAATTTTCTGTGCGCAATTTGACAGGTATAAATTGAATATTTAGAATTGAAGAAAAACCGGATCCACCGATGCGGGTGCGCATTTGATGAATTTTGCATTTTTCTTGAAATGCATATAGTTGAATTATTATAATAAATTAGCTATTTACAAGTTTGAATTGTACAATCTCTCGATATTTATATCTTGTAATTAAAATGTGAGAATTACAAAATCTATACTAAATTTTTTCGATTTGAAACCGTGTAGATTTTATCATGTGACGGCGAATGCCACTCTTCCATTGACCAATATTTCGATAGGGAAAATAATCATGCTTAATTAAAATGTGAATAAATATTCCACGTTTTACTTCACCTGTTTTCGCAATTTTAACTAATTTCCTGATTTGACGGCATTTATTGGTTTTCAAAAAATTAATCAACTGTCAGTCATTCTGATGATCACAAACCTGACGGAAGCTGGGTGACACAATGGGCAGCAGTCAGAATGTAACGATTGTTAATCACAGACCCGCCACATCTGAATTCTATTTGCTTGTTGTTGATTTTATAAGCGATGAGGGCCATCCACGGGTAATCGAATACCCCAGTTTTGTTACCTCCTATTATTCTCTGTTCTGTCACTGGACCACAGACATTGTGGTCGAGGAGCCTAAGATTCGGATGAGCCGTTACGTCTGGAGGAGACTGTGGAGTCTGCGAGGGAATGAGAGGTGTTGTAGACAGAGTATCAAATGTTACCTAAGGAAAGAAGTACACAAAAATAATTTTGCAGGAATAATGTAACAATAAAAATGCGGAGAATAATAATTCCACCATAATTTTCATTTAATAATTGGATTTAGCGACCAAAAATATTCACACATACATTTATGTATATAAGACGAGGGGCTATTCACAGGCGTAATCGTGGTGTCACTCGCTGATGTAATCAATTGTAATCCCAGTGAAATCAATGTAATCATTGTAATCACATGATGACCATATTTGTAATCAAGTTTTCGTAATCAAGTGGTAATCATGTGTAATCAGTGTAATCTTTCGTAGTTGCTCCTAGTGAGGCCATGAATTTTATTTTTGAATTTTCGAGCGTGTCATTTCTGCCGACGGTTAATCTCAGAGATCTCTGAATAAATTTTTCTTGAAATCCCAGATTTCTTCTTATTCTGGAGAACCAACGACTGAATTATCTGCTGGTAAGTTTCATTCTCCATCAATGGTAGATATTTAGTAAATTTATTTTGCTGATAACACTTATAAATGCCCAAATTTTTAGATGGAGTGATGGAGACTGCATTCCTCTGTTCTAATCTTCGCCCCTCCTTCCTCATTTCTTTGCAGATTCTAATAATTAATTATTCCATCAATTCATATTTAATAAGAGGCCATTTTTTGGCATTTCAATGATTACCAATGTTTGGTAATCACAGAATGTAATCGATGAAATAATTTGTAATCATGTAATCACATTCTGTGCTCTTGGCAATCACGGTTATCACATAGGCAATAATAATCAGTGTAATCAGTCCCGTAATCTTGGGTAATCGATTATATTTTGTAATCGCAGTGTCACCCAATTCGCCTGTGAATAGCCCCTCGATATAAGAACGTCGTAAATTATGGGACGGGTGTATGCTTATTGTTTTGGTCGAGTTCTTGCTAAATATTACAATAGTTTTTATTTTGTAGTTTTTCTTCCATTCTACAAAAGAGGCCCCGAGAAAAAACATCAATATTTTCCCTAAATCCAGAGATATTCATGGAAAATGACACTTCTCAGAATGGAATAGACTTGGACCGGTTAACCACTTTATAACTGAAGTTATTTTGCATCTAATGCCATTGAAGTGAATTGATGTAAATTATTTTCGTCAAAAACAATTTTATTGAAACATTTTTTGTCAGAAACTTTTTTTCCGGAGTGTCTCTGCTCAATTGTATCGTCATGAAGCCCCCAACTAAAAAAGTTTAGAGTTATTGATCAAATCATCTTTTTTGTAGAAATTTCCATTCATTTCAAAAAACATTTTTATATATTATGGGCCGGTAACCAGAGTTACGAAGAAGAGGAGACGGAGGTACAGGATTAGGTCCAGGCTCGAATACGAAGATCTTTGCACTTTTTTATGCAGATGAAATCGGAGAGAGTGGAGAAGAATCACAAAAGATGCTGAACAAAGTCGAAAAATGGTCAGACTCACATTCATGGAGGTAAGCGTAGAAAAGACAAAAATTATGGTTTTCAGAAACAGGGGCAAGAGGAAAGGAGAAAATTGGCTATGTAAAAATACAGAAATTGAAGTCGTCAAAGAGTTTAAATATCTTGGATTTTAGTTCATTTAAAGATGTAACAAACATTCAGAAAAGGCGGCTAGGAAAACAGCAATTGATTAATAAATTATGGGGAAAAACAAGAAGGGCAGGACTAACGAACTTGAAGAGAAGGATCTACTTCATGGACACAACGGTGAAGGCGGCGGCTATATACGGAGTAGAGATAAGTAGGTATGCTAAGCGGGTTCTGTATAGTAGTTCGCCAAATCGCCACCAGATGCGCCATAAGGCGTGGAAGGTTCTGGAATGGTGGCGCCACCGTCGCGGAATTTTCTAGATGGATGACGTCATCGATGAGTCACCTCATCAACTCGGGGGTGTGGTGAGGGTATTTTGTGAGTCCTGTTGGGACTTGTATGGAATATGATACTAGTGGCGGCGCCACCGTCATGGAATTTTCTAGACGGATGACGTCATCGATGACTCATCGACTCGCGTGGTGGGGGAATCCCTCTAAAACCTGTTGGGACTTGTATGAAATATGATGACGTGTTGAAACTTGCATGAAATCGGATATTGGCGCCACCGTCGCAGAAATGTCGAGATGAATGACGTCTTCGATGAGTCACTCGGGCTGATGACTTATTTACTTGCATGGTAGGGGAATTCCCCGTAAGTCCTAAACATGTGCAAATATTTAACAACATTTGCAAACATTTTGTAAACATTTGCGAAAATTCTGCAAACATTTTGCAAACATTTGACAACATTTGCAAACATTTGGCAACATTTACAAACATTTGACAACATTTGCAAACATTCTGCAACCATTTGCAAATATTCTGCAAACATTTGCAAACATTGGACAACATTTAGAAACATGTGAAAACAATGATTGAATATTTTCAAGATGAATAGTATCGGTGAGTCACTCGGAGTGACAACTGATCGATGTGTGAGGTGGAGGTTTCCCGTAAGTCCTGTTGAGACTTGTACATTCGAGAAGGATGACGTTATCGCGGTGGAGTTCCCCCTTAGTCCTGTTGGGACTTGTGTGAAATACATTGACCGGTCAAAACTTGCATGAAATTGGATATTGGCGCCACAATCGCGGAACTTTCAAGATGGATGACGTAATCGATGAGTCATCGGTTCGTGGGGTGGGGGTGTCGGTTGAGTCCTGTTGAGACTTGCATGAAATAGGATACTCGATTGGTCTCAAATATTCTCGACTAGCGAACGGGCGCTTCGCGCTCGTCGCTAGATTATATTATATTATATTAAGGCCCGGGTGTATTATCTTTTCAACATTATCTCGATGTTTTTTTTCATCTTTCGTCATCTGAAACTGTTAATTAAGTCCTGCATCATGCAGAAGTTTTGAAAAATTATGAATGAATAATTTTAAAAAAAGTAGAAAAAATTCGTACTTTTTTCAAAGAGCATTTTAAATTTATATTCAGAATAAGTTGAATAACAAAAAATTGAAAAATGTATCTGATTTATGGTAACAAATGGCGGCCTGTCACCCAATATCATGCAGGGAGAAAACTGATTTCGTAAATCTTTTCCAACACTGCACAGAGACATTTATTACGGAAAAGGCTCTTTAAAAAAACTTGTAATATTTTCGAGAATTTTTTAATCACACTTTCATCACATAAAAATGGCAGATGACTATATATCACTGTTTTAAAAATTGAGATACCTAGCTGTCACTTCCCATGAGGAGTTAGTGTTTTGTTATCCACCCTGGAAAATGACAGCTAATAGATAATTTTCCACAGCGAATCAGATATTTGTAATTTCCACTTTTTTCAACTCATTCTGAATCTTAATTAAAAACGCTCTTTGAAAGAGTTCAGAATTTTTTCTTTTTTTTATCATCCCTGGTGATCCAGGAGCCACGGTACTTGCGTGGCTGTTGCGTGGCTAATAGGATTGTCATTTTCTGGAGCTAAAAAGGAGGAAATGATATCTGAAAACACAATAAACGTGGATAGACGAATTATTAGTTTATATTTGCACTGTATATAACATTGTTTTCTATCAATTGATTGAAATTAATGTGAGTGTATATAATGATAAAACAAGACCCGTAGGGGGAATGCCGGGAGATGGCGGCAGTGTCGATATCCCAACGGGGTCGGTCAAGTAGACAGGATTCGCAGCCAGAATAAATGAGACCCCAACAGAGGTGGGGCGCCACGGTCGATTCTAACGGCTGGGCGAGCTGCCTGTGCCGGTAACTCGGCAGTAGGGCCAGAAGAAGAATATCCATGGATTTTGGAGTGGAGGACAAGCATATGAGTGGGAATTACGTAGAGTGGGGGTATCCTGGGCAGGGAAAACATCTGCTAGAAGCCCTATAGCAGTCCCGCTGTCACAGGGGTAGGTTCGAAGGGGGGTTTACGTCCTCCTTGTCCTCAATGTTTACTTTATCTTTTTCCGTTGATTCATTCGCCCGCTAATTAATATTAAGGGATGAGACGAAGACTTTTCGATGGAGAATTAGATTCCCCATTTATCCCCCGTTTCATCCCTTAAT